GCAATGGCACGATCTCGGCTCACCGCAACCTCCGCCTCCTGGGTTCAGGCAATTCTCCTGCCTCAGCCTCCTGAGTAGCTGGGACTACAGGCACGCGCCACCATGCCCAGCTAATTTTTTGTATTTTTAGCAGAGACGGGGTTTCACCGTGTTGACCAGGTTGGTCTCGATCTCTTGACCTTGTGATCCACCCGCCTCGGCCTCCCAAAGTGCTGGGATTACAGGCTTGAGCCACCGCGCCCGGCCTCATATGTATTTATTTACGTGAGATGGTGTCTCGCTCTGTCGCCCAAGCTGGAATGCAATGGCATGATCAGAGGTCACTGCAGCCTCGAAAACTCCTGGGCTCAAGTGATCCTCCCATCTCAGCCTCCCAATTAGCAGACAACCAGTTTGCTCCACCACACCCAGCTAATGTTTCACTTTTTGTAGAGATGGCGTCTTGCTATGTTGCCCAGGCTGGTCTCAGACTCCTGTGCTCAATCGATCCTCCCGCCTTGGCCTCCCAAAGCACTTGTAATTATAGGCATGAGCCACTGCACTCAGCTTCTAGATGCAAAATTTTAAACTCTTAAATCTCAGCTCACTAAAACCTCTGCCTCCCAGGTTCAAGCGATTCTTCTGCCTCAGCCTCCCTAGTAGCTGGGACTACAGGTGCCTGCCACCATGCCCAGCTAATTTTTGTATTCTTAGTAGAGATGGGGTTTCAGCATGTTGGCCAGGCTGGTCTCGAACTCTGACCTCAGGTGATCCAACCGCCTTGGCCTCCCAGAGTGCTGGGAGCCACCGCACCTGGCCGGAAGCTTTCTTAACATTTATGTTTTTAGGTCTCACCCCTGGGAGTGAGATTCAGTGGGTGAAATGGGACCTGGAAAGCTGCGTGGCTCATGGAGACTCTGATGCAGGCGTCTTGGGAAATGCTGCATTCAGCCCTTCTGGTGAAGCTCTTTCTTCCTGATTTGTAGTTTGTGCCGGAGGGAACTCCAGGCCTCGTTTTTACGGACAGGGATAGTTAGGCTTGGCGTAAGCGTAAGCGTAACCCCAACCGTTCCGGGGAACCTGGCCCCCCTCTATAGCGCAGGCTGACCCAGCAGACGGGTTCCTGCCTCCCTCCTCCCCTGACCCAGCCCTGCTTTCTGCCCACATATACTTCCAGGAGCCCCATGTCCATATCTGATACCACCTCGGAGCTCTGGGAGCTGGGTCGGAAAGGAAAGGAAGTGTTGGGTTTTCTTTCTTCCCTCCCCTGAAATCTGGACATGAGTATGGACATTCAGAGGCCAGTCCTTCCTCACAGCCCTTCCTAACTTTTTCTGGAAGTAGAGAGGAGAGAGAAGACAGGGTTCAGTTTGGGGCTCAAGACACCAGCTGTGGGCATAAGGGGTCCCAGGGAGCCTGTGGCCACTTCTTGGTCAGCGGGGAGCTTTACAGGATTCCCGGATGGAGATGCCACTGGCTGAGGCTGAGGCAGGTCCTTGCTGGTGGGGCTTGTGAGGAGGCGTCATCAGGATGCCCCCAGATGGCAGAAGAACTGGGGCTCAGCCAGCAGGATTGCTGCTCAGCCTTCTGCGGCTGTGGGGACTTCACCGTCGTGCAGAGGGAAGCCTCGGCCACCAGACCCTTGCTGCCTCTCTTCACCGTGGCCACAGCTGGCACTGGGCCTGAGGGATTAGGGTGGCACGGCGGTTCCTGAGACTGGTGCCCCTGAGTGACAGCTTTTTCCATCCTCCGTTTCAAGTCTCTGGTTAGATCAGGAGAAGATCTTGCTGTGGCGCTCCATCCTTAAACCGCTGGAAAACTTGCTGATCTCCCTTCCAGGAGAGAGAGTTGGCGTCAGCTTGCCACAGGCAGCGGGAGTCATGGCATGTAATCACTGCTCTTTGTTCTTTTCATTCTGACACTTGGCCTCTGTTTATGGCAAGTCGTACTGATTCTCCACTGACAATAGCAGTGTAGAGTTTCCTTTCAAAGTAGATTGTTGTTATTTTAAAAGAGTCTATTCAAAGCAAAATAAGTAAATAAGAGTCCGAGTGAGTGGGGCACAAATTGTAAATGATACATGCGAAGCCTAGGCTTGGAACCCAGGTGCTGGGAGCAGCCGTCTGGATCTCACATCTGGCTTCATCTTCACAGCAAGCCTGTGAGGGGAGCAGGAGCATTCTTCACACTGCGCAGGGGACGCGGCTTCGCAGAGAGGCGCAGGGACCGGCACAGCCTGGTGACTTTGCCTCCCTGATCTTTCCGCCTGCTCCTTCTTGTGGCTGGGGACACTGTGACCTTGGGTTCATTCTGTGGCCCTCAGCCCTTCTGCTTTCCCCCTCATACTGTCTCAGTACTTTCTCTCCCATCTGCAGCCCTGAGCTGCCTCCGGGAGGAGCAGGCCAGCTTGCGCCGCTGTGTCCTGGCCTCTGCATTTCGGCGGCGGAACTTGGGGTTGAGCCGTAGCCAGGCGAGTAGTGGAGCCCAGCCTCCCCCGATCTCAGCCTCCCCCAGACCCCAAACTCCCGGGACCCCAGCCTTCCCGGAGCACAGCCTCCCCCAGACCCCAAACTCCCGGGACCCCAGCCTCCCCGGAGCACAGCCTCCCCCAGACCCCAAACTCCCGGGACCCCAGCCTTCTCGGAGCACAGCCTCCCCCAGACCCCAGCCTCACCCGACCACAAGCTCCCCCAGACTCCAAACTACCCCGGACCCCAGCCTCCCTGGAGCCCAGACTCCCCCAACCCCAGCCTCCCTGGAGCCTAGCCTCCCCCGGACCCCAGCCTTCCCCAGACCCCAGCCTTCCCAGACCCCAGCCTCCCCTGGACCCCAGCCTCCCCCAAGCCCAGCCTCTCCCAACCCCAGCCTCCCTCAGACCCCAGCCTCCCGCAACCCCAGCCTTCCTCAGACACCAGCCTCCCCTGGACCCCAGCCTCCCGCGACCCCAGCCTCCCGCGACCCCAGCCTCCCCGGAGCCCAGCCTTCCCCGGACCCCAGCTTTCCCTAGGCCTCAGCCTTCCCCGGGCCTCAGTCTCCCCGGACTATAGCCTCCCCAGACCCCAGCCTCCCCCTACCCCAGTCTCCCCTGACCCCAGCCTCCCCCAGACCCCAAACTCCCCAGAGCCCAGACTCCCTGGACCCCAGCCTTCTCCAACCCCAGCCTTCCCCGGACACCAGCCTCCCCGGACTCCAGCCCCCCTGGACCCTGGCCTCCCCACCTCATTTCCTGGCTATTGGACACAGGCCTTTTTGTGGGGGCTCTGGAGACCAGGCTGAAACTTACTGACGTTTCGCAATTTGGTTCTGCCAAAAGGTGAGGGGATGGCCGTGCTCTTTAAAGCAGTCAGCCTGTCCCGGGAATCCGTGCTCCTGATGGGGAAGCCATTTGTGTGTGGTTTCTGCTCAGAAGGCCTCAGCAGTTTTATGTTTCCTAAGCAGTGATTAGTGGCATGGTGAGGGCCTGATCCACGGGACCGTTCTGTCCTGGAGGAGAGAGTCAAGTCTCGCTGCAGCCTCAGAAACTTGACCCTCTGCCATTTTGTTTCTGTGGCACCAGCGGCTCTAGGAGCCAGCCCACGGAAGGTGCCCACACTCGTGGCCTGGGGCTGTCCGCCGATGGCTGCGGCACATTGAGCTGTCTTTCGAAACTAAAGCTGGGGAGACGTGCTGTGTCTGCTTCTGAGTATTATGTGCGGTTATACCTCGGGAGTGCGCTCTCCAGGCGTGCTGCGTTCATCTCGTCTGCAGAAGGAACCTCCTGCCCTCTTCCCTCCTGACTCAGCTCCAGGTGCCCCCCTGGCCCCCCTGGAGAGAGTGAGCAACGCCCTCCTGGAGGAAGAGCCCTCCTTTGGGAACTCAAGGCATGGCCTTTCTTGGCCAGTGTGTGCATTCGCTCGTGGTCACCTTCCTTTGACCCACAGGTGGGAGCGGCGGGCTGACCCCTCTGGGATCTGCACACGGTGTCTGGTATCAGGCCCCCACCTAGGACGTGGGCTTCCGGCTGCGGGGGACAGGACGCCCGGGACGCATTTGCTGCTCCTTCCTCTATGTCCCAAGCACGAGCAGGAGCAGCGCTCTCCTCCCCGGGCCCCGGGGCTCTGTGGGGAAGGCAGAAGATGACCCGTGGGAAAAGGATTTGAAAGGGCTGAGACGTCAGGTGATTCTGCTTTTCCTTCTCTGTTGGTCTAAGCACTTGAGGATTCGGGACTCTATGCGCACACACCACGTGCCTGTCTTGGTTAGGAGTTATTTACAAGGAGCAGAAATGGATTCGAGCTGCCTTGGGTCAGATTGTCCAAACACAGTGGTTCATGGCAGGGGTGTCCAGATGCAGGACCGGTGTCTACCTGGGAGCGGAGCGGCCCACATGGGGCGTCGGAGCAAGTTGCTCGCGCTCCCTGGGGGCTATCCCGATTCTCCCCTTCGCTCCCGTCTGACTCTGGTGAGTTTCCTGCCCCTCCTCATCTGTCCTCTTCTCTGCCAGCTGCACCTCTCTCTGTTGTCCCTGGCCCAGCGAGGCGACCCCGGCCTGCCCCTGACCTGAGTTCATGGTTCTCAGCTCCTCATTGTCTCAGCTCTTCTCTCCCTTCTCTCATCCTGCCACGTGTAGGAAAAGATTGCCGCTAGCTGCCCCTGAGGCTGAGATGCCAACGAGGTGCCCTCCTGCA